CCATAGTGTTCGCGTGCGCTCTGCGCTTTCTTCACGATGCAACCAATATTGTTAGATGTTTGCTCTGTGGTTCTCGCCTAATGTTCTTTATAAATTTGGATCTTTGTTATATAGGCGTTTGGATATAGTGAACATTACATGCAATGAGCGAGCTGAATATTTGTGTTGCATTATTATTTTGTATTTCAGTTTTACGCTGCACGTGTGAGCAACGCACGTGTTGAGTAATAATATTTGGAGATATCGAAAGATGCGAGTTGGAGTATTGATGTATCACGCACGAGACGTTTAACAGTAAAGAAATGTATGGATCAGTAGCGGCAATGAGTAAGAGCTTACATTGAGGCCAAGTGGAGGACATGAGGGGTTAAAAATACATTGAAGCAGGCGGAGTTACATGTGTAAGAAACGACATGAAGCAGGCAGTACATAGAGTAAACTTACATGATTGCAGGTACTACATGAAGGTAAACTACATGAAGCAGAGTACATGTGTAAAACGTACATGAGCGGAGTACATGAGTAAAAACTACATGAAGCAGGACGTGCATGAGTTAAAACTACATGAAGCAGGAGTACATGAGTAAAACTACATGAAGCAGGAGTACATGAGTAAAAACTACATGAAGCAGAAGTACATGAGTAAAACTACATGAGTAATGGTATACGTGCCTGGGGGACATGAGCAAGAAAAGTCTATGAGCTAAGACTGCATGAGGCGAATCCACGTCAAGAATTTGACAACATGGCGGAGTGCAAGAAGTTAAGAACGGCAAGGAAGAGGGAACTCACCAAGGAAGGTAACATCATTAAGCGCCTGGTGGCAGAGGAAGATTATGAAGAGACGGAAGCAAAACTTCGGAGATTAAAGGGAGTATTTTCCGAGTTTTCTAACGCACACGAGGGTTGTCATGTGCTCCTCACTGACGACGGAGATATCGACGATAGTGATGGGTATTTCTTTGAGGTTCAAGATGCGTATGTTAATGTGGTGAGAGAAGCAAAGGCATTCCTCAAGAGTCGGCAGTTACCCATCTGAGAGTCAGTCTGTCAAAAACTGAACCGCAGTTCAAAAAGTTAGTTTCTGCCATGCAGCAGCAGTCTTCTCATTGAACTGTCGTTTAGGGCACAGTGCGCTTGATTGGAAAAATTCGCTGTGCGACTGCATTAATAAAACAAAAACATGATGTCAAAATATTCATGACAATACATCAGTGTTGGTTCTTCATTTTGCTTATGCAGGGGCGTGTACAGGGGGGGGAGGGGTCCAGGGGGTCCGGGCCCCCCCTCCCTGCTCGCGCAGAAAAACGCGTCTAAGGGGGTCTAATTTCAAAAAAATTCGGGTGGAGGGCCCCCAGACCCCCCCTTCGCGTGCTCGCAAGTTTGAGTTACGGTTAGAACCTCCCCTGGTACAAATCCTTACACGCCCCTGTTATGGTGGGCGAAGGGGTACCAGGAGATAGGGTAAAAAAATTAGGGGTGGGGGGGTCCAAAAGGTTGGGAACCACTGCTCTAGCTGGTATAGGCTTAAGAGGGCTCTGTGTTGGTGGATCAGGATAAAGGATAAGCTAAAGAGAAAAGGTCAAGCTAAATTCGGAGATCGCATATGCGTTGATGAAATGGGTTCAGCAGAGCGAATTATAGTGAAGCACGTGCAGATGCAACGCTACGAGAAGGAATTAACTCAAATCGCATATGGGTGGCATTTGGGAACGTATGATTCGTTCGATCAGGAAGGTGCTCAATGCCTTGCTGCGCGGGAATCACAGACTGACGGACGAAGTGCTGGAGACGCTATTTTGCGAAGTAGAAAACATTATCAACAGTCGGCATATCACCAAGAGTAGCGATGATGTAAGTGATTCGAGAGCGCTTACGCCTTACCATCTTTTATTGCTACG